TCCCTAAAGTTTTAAATTGGAAGTCAGTTGAAAAAATATTTAAATAAAACAAAAAAAATTGCTGTCCCCCCTTCCTCCATTGTTGCTTTATTGGAAACATTTTGATTTAATATGAATTAGTAGCTAAATGTACTTTCCACGCTTTCTTTTATCTAAAGCTAGTGTTGAGAGAAAAAAAAAAAAAAAAAAGCAGATCTTAAGAATTTCTTTAACTAGTGAATTTTTTCACTTTTGTTTTCCATGCAATTTTTTTTAACCTCAGTCTTTAACGGTGACCATTGACATTCCCCTGGAACTGGCGTAAATCTACAGAGTTAGGTTCTGACTGTAAACTTCTGGGCTTTTATTTTTTGCCTCTTTGTCAAATAACTTCTCAAATTTGTGACTTGCTTAAGGTTCCAGTATTTTCACTGTTGTATATGTATGCTAGAGCTCCTTTACCTGGAAATATGAATACAAAGGGCCTGGTCAATCCGGCCTTAGGATGACATCTGCAGCATCAGACCCTAACTAAGTAATAAGGCTCTGATCCTGGGAAAAAAAAAAGTGACTAAATTTAAATACATGAGCACTTCTCATATTGGTTTCAGTATGACTTCTCACACAAGTAAAGTTAAGCATGCACGTAATATTTTTCAAGATCAGAGCCTAACATGAGGAATGGAAGATCTTGGAGGTAACGACTACTTAATTGAGGGCTAAGTGCCAAGCAGCTTGTTTTTTTTTCTCTACCAATAATGATTAAAGTAAAATGTTGATCTGTTTTTATATCCCCAAATGTGTTTCTTGTTTTCAGAAAATTAATAGACGTCTCCATTTGTCAAAAACGAAGCACAGCAAATTCAATGAATCGGGGCAGTTAGCATTTTTCTATTTGTTTTCATTTGCCTGGGGAGCAAGTATTTTGACTGCAGTAAGTAAGTCAAATCGCTATCTGTATTTGTTTTAAAAATACACATCTAAAATATTATGAAAGTTCTTAAATGACAACTTTTTTTCCAGGAAGAATTCATGACAAACCCTACCTTGTTATGGAAAGACTATCCCCATTCTCACATGTTGTAAGTGTTTTATTCTCTTTTTCTAGGTGTTTGACAGTTGGCTACCAGAACTTTGTATTGGTAATCCAAACAGTGTAGACAGTTTTCATTTGTATTAGTGACCAATAGCTGAAAATCCTTTGGCGGGTGTGGGTGTGGGGGTGTGTGGGGGTGTGAGTGAGAGAGAGAGAGAGAGAGAGAGAATGAATTTAGGCTCCCATCCTGTAAATGCTTGCACCAGTGTTTAACTTTACCATGTGAGTAGCCACACAGAGTTCAATGAGTGTAAAGTTAAGCATATGCAGAAGTGTTTAGAGGATTATTGCCTGACTAAGTATTACTAAACCTGTCTGTCTTCCACTGAAGGAACTTGGTGGGTAGGTGGGTGTTCCTCCACTCCCCAAACAAAAACAAAAAAATGGTCCAAAGGGTGATATAGAACTTGCAAACAGGAAGGGAATTTGTAAACACTTATTCAAGAAATTACTTCTTGACTTTATAGTAGCTGATAAAGCAGTTTCTGTTTGCAATTCCTTTTATATATAGTATAGCATATTATAGGTCAGCATTTCTTATTGTGAGGGAGTGAGGTAAAATAGTGTATCCTTTAAAAACCTAAACACTTAACATTCTAAACTTCTTTCCTTCTAAATTGTTGTTTAGTTTTCAGGTAAAATTCTTCTATGTCTGCCAGATGGCCTATTGGCTTCATGCACTCCCAGAATTGTACTTTCAAAAGATTCGAAAGGTATGAATTGAAACCTTCGCTACTTTTATTTTAAAAATACATTTTGAATTGCTTGATTTGTTTGGTAATGTAATCTTGGTGGGAAACTTACATGGGGTACATACTTCAAATAGAATTCCTTTGCCTTACAGAGAGAAGTACAGCAGTGAGGAAGATAAGGAAGGTTGACACATTTCAGTATGGTGGGTTTTAAAGTAGGTTAGCTAAAATTTAACTTTAAGTTTTCTCTTAATTTTAGGAAGATATACCAAGACAGCTATACTATATCTGCCTTTACATTGCTCACATATCTGGTGCCTATGTACTGAAGTAAGTATTTGTAAATGGTAACTAATTGAAAAGTTTTACTTCATTATTCCAGTTATCAATTTTTTTTTTTACTATTTTTCATGTGGCTCTGTGTATTCCCATTTATGGGTACTGTGCCACCTTGTGGTGCTGTACAGTAAAACCTTCTAATAGCAGCATCCGTTAGATCGCTCTCGTGACCTTTCCCGCTTCCCTCAGCATCAGGACATATTAAGCCAAGGCTATATAGGGGGTGGAGCGACCTCACCACCTTAGATCCTTCCACATGCCTGGATAGATGTGAAGCATTCTGGTCTTTTTGGAACCAGAGCCTTTTTTCTTGAGGTAGTTAGTGTTGGTTGTTGGTATGTAGTTAGTTAGTGATTCTTTCCAGTTCTGCATTATGGCAGAATTGAAGAAACAGAAGAACCTGGGTTTCAAAAGGTGCATTTCCTGCCTGGCTGTCTTCCTAGCATCTGATGACTATGTTCAGGGCCTCAAGTGCCTGGGAGAAACTCATTCTTTTTCTAGGTGTTTGATTTGCTGGACCTTTTAGTCCCAGAGCTTTGCTTACAGCTCCTCCTTCTCAAGGAAGCTCTTAAGGCCAGACCCTCTGGATCTGAACAGTCCTCAGATCCAAGGTCTAAGAGGCCAGTCTTGGTTTCCAGCAGTTCCAAAGGACTGAAGGGCTCCAAGAATCCACACCCTATGTTGGGGCTGGATGCCCCCTAAGTCAAGCTCCCAAGGCTACATATGTTTGAACCAAGGGCCATGCACTTGGCTCCAGCTGCCCTGACTCTGGTGGAGCAGTCGAGAGAGAATTTGGCCACCATCACTGGTGCTGTACTTCATGATTTGCAATTGTCTGATCCTGTCGAATTCCTGTGCTACAGGGCCAGGATCAGATTCAGTGTTCACTTTTGGCTCCAGGAAGATGGATTTCATTGGTGTGTCCTAACTGGGGTATCTGGCAGTCCAGATTTGGCCCACAGGCTGCCTATTGACTACCCCTGGTATGCCATGCAGTTCAAATAACTGCCCCTCGATCTCTCCTACTTCTCCCTCTCTCTAGGGACCCCCGCCTCTCATGAGGCGAGTCTTCTTGAAGTAGAAAAGTTGCTTCTGTTAGGAGCAGTCGAGGAGATTCCTGACTTAAGGGGTCAGGGCTTTCATTCCTTTTATTTTTTGGTTCAAAAGAAGGATGTCGGGGGTTAATTGGATACTAGATTAAGGGACTTGAATAAGTATGCTCAGAGGCTTTATTTCCAGGTGTTGACTTTGGCCTCCATAAATCCCTTCACTGTTGCTCATGGATTGGTTCATGTAAGGGGTTGGACTCACCCCTGCGGCACCCCCTATTGGTTGCTTTGGGGAATCAGCTTGTCCAGCGTCTGGAGCGCCCTCTACAGGCCAGTGATCCACCTTGTCCCCCTACTGGCTCCCGTGTCCCTCCCAGGACCCCGGTGCCCCTTGCTCTGGGTGCTGCCCCCTGGCAGTACCCACACACGCTAGGTCTCCCCTCCCAGGGGAACCCCTACCCACTAACCCCACCTCGCCTCGGTGTAAGGCCACTGCCAGTCACCAATTAGCCCCCACTGCCTGGGGCAGACTGCAGTATAGGCCACTCATCACAGGCAAGGGTGGGTTTGGACCTGCTGCCTCAGTCTAGCCGTGGGCTGCCCTCTGCAACCCCCAGTACCCCTTGGCCTTCTCCTAGGCCTCAGCCTGGGGCTTTCCAGGCTGGAGCTCCCCAGCTCCTCAGCCTTTCCCCAGCCCTGCTCCACTCAGGTACCCTGTCTCTGCTTCCTGCAGCCAGGCCCTTCTCTCTCTGAAGGCAGAGAGAGATTCTGAGCTCCTGGCTCCCAGCCTCTTTATACAGGCCAGCTGGATTCTGATTGGAGCGTGGCCCAGGTGCAGCTACTTCCCCAATCAGCCCAGTAGCTGCTTCCCTGCCCCAGCCTTCTCCCAGGGCTGTTCCAAACCCCTCAGGGCAGGAGCGGGTGTCCACCCCGCTACAGTTCACAACTCTCTATCTAAAGGATTTGTATTTTTATATTTCTGTTAATCACCATCATTCCAAGTACCTTTGATTTATAGTGGCTGGGAATCATTTCCAGTACAAGATGCTTCCATTTGGCCTCTCCATGATGCCCAAGGTATTTACAAAATACCTCTTTGTGGTAGGGACTCATCTGAGCAATCAGGGTATTTTCAGTATCCCTATCTGGATAACTGGCTACTGAGGGGCATTGTGCATGAGGACCTGTTAAGCCATATTGTCTTCACAATCAATCTCTTTTCAAATCTCAGGCTACTTTTCTACTGCCAAAGTCAATTCTCTGCCCCTTTAAAAGGATTCCCTTTATAGGATCCATAGTGCACTCTGTGGAAGGGAGAGCTTTTCTCCCAGAGGACAGATTTCTCAAAATGAGTGAGCATATGTAAAAGATTTGACAGTGTTCCTCTCGGAGAATGAAATTCTTCTTGGGTCTTGTGGTCTTTATGGCAGCCACTACATTTTGTGACTCCATTTGATTGTCTGATAATGAGACTGTGCATTATTGGATATCTCATGTCTACAGACCAAGCCAGAACAGCCTTCAGATGTTGATCACCATACCTCAGAATGTTATAGTCTCTCTCTAGAATGGTGGTCAGTCAGGGCAAATATGCTCAGAGGTGTACAGTTCAGTGCTCCAGTCATCCCTGACAGTAACTTCAGTTGCATCAAACAAAAGTTGGGGGGAGCCTCTCCATTTGACAGTTCAAGGGCACTGGTCTGTGCAGGAGAGACCCCTGTGTAACACACACACACCTTCTGGGTGTGGTGTTCTGTCCCATCTAGTGGCACCGAGACCACCAATTTTTTGTATATCCTCTAGATTGGTTATGTCTTATACCAAGAATGATAAGGGGTATTTGATTTCTTCCCAAACTATTTCTTGGTGGATTAAACAATGCATTACTGAATGCTACATACTGGCAAAAATTCTTGTATCTGCTGCAATTAGACCACTAGACAGGTGTGGCTACCTCCTTTGCTTGTCTTAGGTAGGTGTCTGTTGCTGAAACTTGCAAACTACAATCTGGACTTTGATGCAGACTTTCACTAAGCACTATGCTCTGGACTTGGCTTCTAAGGCAAACACTGGATTTGGCAAAGCAGTGCTTGTCTCTATTCAACTAGGACTCTGGGTCCACCTCTAGGTTAGTCTCAGCACTGCTTATCAGTCTGTTCCATAAGTGGGAATATGCAGAGCCACTCAAAGAAAAAATGAAGGTTATTTACTTGTAATCAAGGTTCTTCAAAAGATCTCTGCCTATTCACATTTCCTGTTGTCTTCCCCTCTCTGTCAGAATATTTGTTTATTCTGTGTCTCTGGCTTTGTGGTGGAAGGAATTTAGATGATGAGGGTGCTCTATCCCTTATCTTTGTCTTTGATATGTTGTGATGCTGAGGAGGGGGGTAGGAGTGGGAGTGGGAGCATTCAAGATGGCAGTGCTAGAAGAAGGTTTTACGATAAGACAGCACAATACCCACAAGTGTGAATATATAGGGCCATCTTGAAAAATCTCTGTTACAAATAAATAACCTTCATTTTCCGTTACAGCCTTCAACGTCTGGGGCTAATTTTGCTGGTACCTCACTATCTAGTGGAGCTCATTTTTCATGCCTCACGTCTTTTCTACTTCAGTGATGAAAACAAGCAGAAAGGGTAAATTTTGCATATACTATCTTACTTTTATTTTACTACCTCTGCGTTTAATTTTCAGAGCTCTATTGTAATTTCTATTGGCATAAACGTGTCTGTATGCACGTAATATAAAAAGCAAATGTTAGGACATCACACATCCTAAGCTATAGCTGAGATCCCAATATTACTATTTGATTGGCGTTCCATGAGAGCTCCAGTGTCATTATGTAGAATCAAGGAAACTGATCTGTCACTTCATGATCGTAATAATTTTTCAAGTAATATTTGTTAAAATCATGTCTTGGGTACATGTTAGCCATCTCTGTTGTAAATGCCTACCTGCTCCAATATATTTTTAATTGCAAATATATTTACGGAGATCTATATTTTAAAAACAAGTGCACCTTAGAATAAAAGTAATATGGACACCAAAATCATTACACCTCTCTCAGAATCTATTTGTGTTTTTGAACTTTGTTCATTATTGTAAACCAATACAAAAGAACTGACAGAATTATACCAGTATTTTATAGTAATAAATGCACAAACAATCTAAACAACGTGTATTACTTTTATAATAGGAAGAAAATCAGTCTGTGCATTATCAGTTTTATATTCTGCCCCTTCTTTGCAAGGGGTGGACAGGAAGAGAAAGTAAAATACTTATAATTTATGGAAGGCAACAGTTTCGAACAGCATATAAAGTAAAATTGTTTATTCTATATCTTGAGTGAATTGCTCACTTATTTTGAGATGTAGAGTTATAAGGACAATTGCATCGAAGCTGGGAAGGGGAAAGACAAGAGGACTGGTTTGTAGAATGAGGGTGGAGGAAGTGAACTTTGTGTGTGAGCAAAGGGGAGGAAGATGAAACTTACAAGAAAGAAGTATGTAACTAAGAAGAGGGGTGCTCTGCATCAATCTGAACACTTTACTCAAATCTCAACCTTCATGTCTGTTCGCAATTCTGCTCCACTTTTCCACTCCTGTCTCTTGTAGTTTCTCCCTCCACGCTCCTAGCTTTGCAAGACTTGACTGCCCATTCATGTGAGACTTCTACAAATGTTATCTTGCTTTCTTCCACACAGCCTCTTATGCATACACAGTCCTCTTTGAAATAATCTGTAAGACTACTACCCTCTTCTCCATATCTCTTCCCAAGACCTGTTTCTGTCTCAACTCCTAACACCAGCATTTAAATAATTAGGCTGAAGGTCATTTGGAGAAAGTCAATATTTATTAATGCAAATAAAGTAAAAACAAACAAACAACTCTCTTTTTACCTATTTTTTTTATATGTTGTTCATCTTAGGCCATAAGCTCTCTAGACCAGGGACCCTATCTACTTTTATTTGTGTAGCACCCAATGCAACAGGACTGCAATACTGATAAGGACATCTGGCCACTACTATAATACAAAGAATATGTTGTATTCCCCCTTCTGTCTGATTAAACAATGTGTTCTTCAGGATAGGGACAGTCTTCCTCTGATTAGGAAACACTTATCATTCTTTGGGTGCTACCATAATCTTAAATAATAATAAGGAATGGAAACCTATCTCCTTAAAAGATGAGTTAGAGAAGCATTTTGAGTGTTTTAGGAGAACTAAAATATTGCTGTTTATTATAATCTTGAACAATAAACCCCCATCAAGAGCCATTTCTCAGCCTGGAAGCCCATGTGATTAGCGACTTCATATTTAAGGTTATAAATTCCCACTCTCATAGCTTTCCAAAAACCTTGGCTTATTTTTCTAGGAGAAAAAAAACCCAACAACTTCTGCTTGAACTGTCACAGGCTGAGTATAGGAATGTTAGGTATTTTTCTTTTTAAGTTTGAGATTAATTGAACAAGCTGTGTTTGAATTGAGATTCTGAATGCACTTTTCATTTTGAAAATCGTTCTAGTTTTTGTCCAATAAATAAGTAGCATGAAAAACTTCTGTACTGCTGAAATCTTTAATGAGAACTGCTTTCTATAGTTTATGTTGTCGTGGTATTCTTCTAGATTAAGTGTAACCATCTCAGTAGGCCACCTCCTGTTCAACTGGTTAGAAACCAAAGCTTTTGCTCTCCAAATTGGTAATAGGTGAATTTCTCCCTTACTGACTTCTGTGAGAGATCTGATCAATCCTCACTGAGACAGTAGCATTCAGAATGTAAATCAGTCAGTAATCTCTACTTACCTCCCAAAATTGCTACATACTGGAAAAGCTTAAATTCTTGGTCCTGGCTACTGGCATGGATGTGGGACAAGGAATGGTAGTGTCTTTTTTTTTTCTTTTTTTCTTTTTTTTTTCTTTGGGCACACCTCTCAGCTTCCAGCTCTTGGCTTCAACAGTGTCTCTAGTGATGGCTATATTGAGGACCTCCAGTATATAGAATGAGGATTGGTGAGGAGATATGGAGGAAGACTTAAAGTTTAGATAGTTATCTAACTTTTTGTATTTTAATTGTGTTTTAACTGAAATATGCTAATGTTTTAAAATAATGGAGATCTTATCTTACAGCCAACTAAAATTTAAAAAGAAAAATAGTTGGGAAATTCATAATAGATGCTTGTAACTTTTCATTGTCCTTTTCAGTATTTATCCACCAAATTTTTTGTTCTCTGCAAGCTTGGATATTAAAATGATATCACTTTGCTCTAAGTTACCTACAAAGTAGAAAGGTAGTGCTTCAGTACTGATCCCATTAGCTTGCAATTCCTTATTTCCTCTTTCCTGCCACTACCTTCCTAACCTGTACACTTCTTGCTGTAATAATCTGCCTTTGTCCTCCCAACCACTTATTTTTTATCCATTTAATCTCTGTGTATTATTGGTCTAGTCATCTCTATGGTTTTATAATGTCCTTGCTATCTTATATATAATTTACAGCATGAATATCAATCTGACATGTACTTTCTGCCTTTACCCTGTTTCTGGGTCAGGGAAATTCACAATGAACTCAGCACCCAGATTTGGCATTCCATGTGGCAATACATTTAATTGCTATTATATACCCCAAATTTGGAAATTTCTAAGCACGCTTTTGAAAATAAAATTTAACTTCTATATTGAAAAAAAAAAAGTTTTATTTGAGGCATAATTGAGTGTATATGGACGGGGGGGCAGAATTCACTGATGTGGGTGGAGAACTAGATGTAGAATTCCTGTAACTGTTGTTCATCTCAATATACCTTTCCTTTTCATCTTAAATTTCAGTGCTCAAGGAAGCTTAATAGAACTTGTACAGTTAACCAAGTTGAAAAGTGGTGGACAAAGGGAGAAGACACATTAATTTTATTATTTCCTTTTCAGATTTACCCTTTGGGCTTTACTGTTTGTAATGGCTCGTCTTTTGACCCTAACCTTATCTGTGCTCACATTTGGATTTGGTTTGGCAAGAGTAGAGAATCCAGGTTTTTCCATAGCAGACGGAAACTTCAATGTACTCACTGTGAGGTATAAAAAAGCTAGTAGACATTCATGTTTGAGTAAAGTGACACTTTCAGACTGCCTTTAATATACCTATCCAAGATGGTAGAGCTTTTTGATGGAGAATTTTCCTGGGTGGCTTTTTTCCCAGGATTTTGGGGTGGAAGAATTTTTTGTTGTCTTTTTTTTTTTTTTTCTTCTTCTCCACAAAGCAGGGACTGCTATTACAAAATACATGCTAAACATAAGAAATCTCTTTGTTTTTCTTTATCGGTGTTTTTATAATTGAATTAATATGACTGCTGTGCAAAAGATCCTGCATAACATCGTGTGAGCTTTTGCTTTAAACTTTCCCTGTGGCCATTATGAACATACTGTAATTTTGAGATATCAATGCCTTCATTTTTGATCAACAACTCTTTAGGAAAACCCAAGCAATCTTCTAACATGTTCATTCTTGCTTGCTCATTTTTGAAGTCACATTAATTTTTCACCGGGAGCTCCGCTGTTTAACCTGCATTTCAACAATCTGTTCATTCAGTAGGTGGAAGGGAAATCGAATTTGCTTTGTCATCATTAAATCTCATTCTTAGATCACTTGGCACAGGAGGCTGCAACTGTACAATTTGGTACTAGCTACTGAAGGCTGTCTGTTATATTTCCTTGATAAGCCTGGATACTTCCCCTGGTGTACTTACCTGTAGCTCCCATTTATTTAATGCAGACTATATGCCCTGTCTTAGATGTGCTCCTTGGCCACATCTGGTTTCCATCAGAGTGAGAGGTTTAAGTTCTTGTTCGAGGGCTTGCTCATGTCCATTCAACTTAGGTGTGTGTGCTTGCCACATGCACCAGTGCTGGAAGTTTTTCCCTCAGCGATATCCGTAGGGGACTGGCTCTGGTGCCCCCTGGAGTGGCGCGCACGCGGTATATAGGGCGCCGCCGGTTCCCCCCACCCTCCGTTCATTCTTGCCGCCAGTGACGGTGCTGGAACTGTTGCTGCTTCAGCCAGTGCTGTTGCTGCTTGTTCGTATGAGCTAGTTATCTCTTGTATTCTAGTGTATATAGTTTTCTGTTAGTGTTTATAAATTCCTTAGCTATAGCTAGAGACTTCGTAGGTCCCAAACGGGACTTTGCCTCAGGATGGGGCATGCCCTGGTCCCCAGGCTTAAAGCCTGTGATCGCTGCAAGAGGCCCATGCCCGTTAGTGATCCACACAGCAATTGTCTGCGTTGCTTGGGCAAAGGGCACATTAGTGAGAAGTGCAAAATTTGCAAGTCCTTCGAGCCAAGGACTAAGAAGGAGAGCAATATTTGTTTAAGAGCGCTCCGTATGGAGTCAGCCCTCACTCTGGCACCAGAGCAACACTCCAACTAGGCGCTGAGTACAGTGACCTTGGTACGCAGCGCCCCACTGGGACCATCCACTGGCCGGCACCAGTCCCCATCCGTGGCTCCGACCAAGAAGGCGGTGCAAGGCTGGTCTCCAACCTCCTGCAAGGGAAAGGAGAAGACTGGGTGCGAGCAAGGTCCCAAGCCGGGCAACTCTTCACCTACGTCTCAGAGACCGCGGTACCGCTCCAGGGACCTGTCAAGGGATCAATGTTACCATTCCTCAGACCACCTAGGAGGGCATCACTACGTGCAGGCACTTCCCAGCACTGGGCCCGTTCCAGCTCCTGGTCCCGCTCCTCATCCCCGGTACCGCTCGTCAAGCGCAAGACCTAGATCGCCAGCTCCAAGATGCCACGGATCCGTCGAGCGCCACCGGTCCCTAACACCCTGCTCCAGATCAAACTCCAGGTGGAGTGACCGGCACCGGTCTGGACACAGCCACTGTTCTGCTCTGTCCTGGTCACCAGGGAGCGACTGCTCAGGATCCAGTCCTGGTTCAGAGCAAGGTTCTCTGACGGTGGGACAAGCTCCCGTACCAGCAGTATGGCTACATTGTCGGCACCGAAACCGGCCTTGTGGCCTCGGGTACCCATGGAACGTGTGGGGGTTCACCCAGCCCTCCCAAGCTGCCCGCTCGATGTCCAGAGCCTCGGAGAGACCAGCTGCCTCTCTCTCCCGCCCTCCTCCGGTGCATGAAGCCTCTGGCGTGAGGACCCCGCAGGTCAAAGAGGGAGCAGGGGAACAAGCCACTGAGCCACCAATGGGTGTGGAGGACCCTATGGCACTGGCATCTTCCTCGTTGTCGCCAGATGAGGCTATAACAAGCCTCCACCCCCCCACCCCCGGATGACACTACAGTGCACCAGGAACTACTGAGGAGGGTCGCTGCCAACCTGGGTCTTCAGGTGCAGGAGCCTAGAGGAACCCTCGGACTCTCTCTTCCATGTCCTCTGCTCCACAGCATTGGCCAGGGTGGCTCTACCCCTTCATGATGAGGTCTCTAAGATCAATAATGCCCTCTGGCAAACTCCCTCCTCCCTGCCACCCATCTTCAAGAGGGCTGAGCACACGTACTTTGTGTGATCCAAAGGCCACGAGTATCTGTACACCCACCCTGCACCCAACTCCCTAGCGGTAGAAGCAGTTAACCACAGGGAGCGACAAGGTCAATCTGGGGCTACCACTAAGAACAGATTCCAAGACACTAGACTTGTTTGGGTGTAAGATTTATTCATCCTGTAGTCTCCAGTGGAAGGCAGCCAACTATCGAGCCCTCTTGGGACGCTATGATTTTAACCTGTGGCAAGCTATGACCAAGTTCGAGGGCTCTCTTCCTGAGGCTTCTAGGAAGGAGTTCCAGGCAATTATGGAGGAGGGCACGACTGTGGCCAGGGCGACACTCCAGCCGGTGTCGGATGCGGCGGACACTGCCGCCAGAACCATGGCCTCGGCCATCGTCGTACGCCGGGCATCCTGGTTGTTCTTCTCTAGCTTGTCCACGGAGGCTCAGCAGTTGATCCAAGACCTTCTCTTCGATGGGAAAGCCCTGTTTGTGGAACAGACAGACAGTAAGCTCCATGGCCTAAAGGACTCCCGCATGACCCTTAAAACTCTGGGCCCGTATGTTCCCGGCCCTGCCCACAAGCGGTTTAAGCCGCAGCAGCCTCAGAGCCAGGGGAGCCACCCTCACCAGGAGCCTCCCCATAAGAAATCCAGAGGCTACAAGCGGCATCCTAGCCAACAGCTTTCGCAGGCCTCTCAGTCAAGCTCAACCTGCAATAAGCAGGTGGCAAGCACTCATTTTGAGGGTACACCCGAGGGTGACCTACCGGACTATTCCCAGGATCCTCCCTTCCCTATTTTTGCCAACCGCCTTTCTCCTTGCCTCTCTGCATGGGCATCTATAACATCAGACCGATGGTTCCTCAGTATGGTGGTGCGGGGTTACATCCTTCAGTTACTTTCTACCCCTCCTCTTCCCTCTTCAGGGACCCTTTTCACAAGAGTCTCCTTGCGCAGGAGGTAGAGGGGTTACTGCAGCTAGGTGCGGTAGAAGTCGTTCCTCCAGAATACAGGAACAAGGGGTTCTATTCCTGCTACTTTTTAATCCTGAAGGCCAAGGGCAGTCTGCGACCTATCCTGGACCTGCGAGACTTGAACTGCTTCCTAGCAAAGCTGAAGTTCCGCATGGTCTCCCTGGCCTCCATCATCCCCTCCCTGGATCTGGGAGACTGGTACACCGACCTCGCTCTGAAAGATGCGTACTTTCACATTGCCATCTTTGAGGGACACAGATGCTTCCTCTAGTTTACGGTAGGTCCCAACCACTATCAGTTTGCGGTCCTCCATTTGGCTCCCGTTTGGCACCGTGGGTATTTACCAAGTGCATGTCGATGGTCGCTGCTTACTTCAGACATCAGGATGTCCAGATCTACCCGTACTTCGATGATTGGCTAGTCCAGGGCAGCTCCAGGTCCAAAGGGATGTTGTGATGCTATTAGCCACCTGCCATTGTCTTGGCCTGTTGGTAAATGACAAAATAAATCCTGTGGCCCCTGCCGAACCGACTGGACCTGCTGTCACAGGATCACGGTCGACTTTTGCACCCCAATCTTGCGTCCCTCTACCTCATGGCGTGGATGTTGCATGGCTGACCCCTGAGGAACAGACCTGTTCGGAAGGGGTCCAAAAGGTCCTCTTTGAGAGTAGAAAGCCCTCGACTAGGCAGACCTACCTGGCAAAGAGGATGAGGTTCTCCCACTGGGCAGCCGAACAGGGCATCTCCCCTTCACATTCTTTGGTGCAGTCAATCTTAGACTACCTGCTTCATTTGAGGAACCAGGGCCTGGCACACTCGTCTATCAGGGTGCATGCATCTCGTGGCCATTTCTGCCTTTCATCCGCCAATCCCAGGGGCAGACTGTGTTCTCCCATGACATGACGGTCAGGTTCCTCAGATGCCTTGAGAGACTTTTTCCTCAGGTTTGGTCCCTGGCCCCTCAGTGAGATCTCAACTTGGTTCTGTCCAGGCTCACAGACCCGCCCTTTGAGCCTTTGGCCTCATGCTTCCTGTCTCACCTATCATGGAAGGTAGCTTTCCTGGTGGCTGCGATGTCAGTGAGGCGATCTCCGAGCTGCAAGCCCTGACCTCAGAACTACCGTACATGGTCTTCTATAAGGACAAGGTCCAGCTCCGGCCCCACCCGTCCTTCCTTCCCAAGGTGGTGTCTACTTTCCACATGAGCCAGGACATCTTCCTTCCGGTCTTCTGCCCTAAACCCCACGAGACTAGTGAAGAAAGGCACCTTCATGCTTTGGACGTAAGAAGGGCCCTGGTTTTCTACCTAGATCGGACAAAGCCTTTCTGTAAGTCGACTCAGCTTTTCTTCTCTACAGCTGATAGGATGAAGGGCCTCCCGGTGTCCACGCAGAGGATTTCTAACTGGATCACCTCTTGCATTTGGACCTGTTATGAGTTGGCAGGAGTCCCTCCGCCGTCAATCGTCAGAGCCCACTTGACCACAGCACAGGCACCTTCGGCGGCCTTCCTGGCACACTTCCCGATCCAGGACATCTGTCGAGCCACGACGTGGTCCTCGGTGCACACGTTCACGGCCCACTACGCCATCACTCAGCAGGCCACGGATGACGCTGGGTTCGGCAGAGCTGTGTTGCAATCTACACCTCCATGAACTCCTACCCACCTCCATGGGGTGCTGCTTGGTAGTCACCTAAGTTGAATGGACATGAGCAAGCACTCGAAGCAGAAAAGACAGTTACCTTTTCCGTAACTGGTGTTCTTTGAGATGTGTTGCTCACATCCATTCCACAACCCGTCCTCCTTCCCCACTGTCAGAGTTTCCGGCAACAAGGAACTGAGGGTGGGGGGAACTGGTGGCACACTATATACCGCAGCATGTGCACGCCACTCCAGGGGGCGCTGGAGCTGGTCCCCTATGGATACTGCTGAGGGAAAAACTTCTGGCACCGGTGCATGTGGCGAGCACACACACCTAAGTTGAATGGACATGAGCAACACATCTCAAAGAACACCAGTTATGGAAAAGGTAACTGTCTTTTCTAAGAGTGATCAGCAACTTTTTTAAATGGACATTTGATGCTGCTTTGCTGTGTAACAATGTATAGTTGAAACTTTTATCTAACTTCTTATTTTAATCTGAAATCTTTTAGGATTAGTTGCTTGGCTGCAATTTGTCTAACACAGGCCTGGATGATGTGGAAATTTATAAATTTCCAGCTAAAGAAATGGAGAGAGCACATCCAGAACCAGATTCCTAAGAAAAAAATCACTTGCACAAAGAGCAAATCAACAAAAAAAGAACCAAACAGAGGTCAGTAGGGTTTTTTTTTTTAGTCACTTCAGATAAAAATAAATATTTTTATGCTCAATTTGTTCTTGAAATCTTTTTGTATTTTCCTTGTATCAGTTCCCAAGGGAGCTAATGTGTGGTCCATTTCTTATTATATGGTGAAAATAGATGTCATTTTTAGCTTCCTCAAAGTTAGAAAATAGTCTGCATCAAAACATATTTACTCGTGGTACGCTGTATTGCATGTTGCTAACTCGAGCCAGCAGAGAGAGAATACTGCACTATAATAAAAACTAAAATTAACAAAAGCCCACAGAGCTAATGTTCTTTCTAGAGTTGATGTCCTTTACTGAACTCTGCATAGATACAGACTCCACAATTTCTGCATATTACTAGGTTGAAAACTTTAAAAAAAATTAGTCTTTAAATTGTAATAGCACTTTAGAATTCATCTTTTTGAATGCTTAAAAAAAACTGTATGTTGTCTATTTTAGTCTGATTAGAGAGGCTTTTAAGGTGGCCATTTTTTCTCGATGACCATAAATTCTATTTTTATTGAATTTTAGGTAATTAACAAATTGCTGTCACTTACTCTTCTAAATTCTACACCAAATCACAGAGACTTCTTTCTATAGTGACAATTGGATCCTTTATAAAAAACAAAACAACAACAAAAAACACCTACTACTGTGAAATTAAATTGTAATCACTGGGAGACCTGTAGTGAACAAAGATTCCCTATTGTATTGCATAGGCAAGATCTGGAAGAAAATTACATCTACTAATAGGAGGACTAACCCTATTTGGCAGAAGTAGACTGGGAGTCTTCACCCATAAGATCCAGTACAGTGCTCTGATTAGAAGCCTATTACCAGTTGCTGGAATTTCTACCAGGATGCTGTCCCTGGACCCTTTTTGGGAGCTCCCTTGTTCGTATCTTTCTATACCTAAGGGGCTGTGGTACTTCAGATTTAGATGCACTACTAAGCACATAATCCAGTGCCCCTGGAAGTCGATGGAAATACTCCCATTGATCTTAATGGGTGTTGGAGAAGCAGCTTTTACTCTCCACTACCTTTCAGAGCCTTCAAACTGCTGTAAAAGAAGTGTGTCTGCTTCTCTATTTCTCCTCCAGACTTGTGGATCCTTCTCTTTCTCCTATGGATAACTTCACTGCTGCTGTTCATTGTTTTTCCATACAGAAGCATGAAATTGACACTATTCTTGAGCTTCACAGCTGCCCACAGTATTCTAAATAGCAGCAGTGAAACTGTAATCCTGTGGACTTCACACTCTGCTGCGGGTGGGAAAATCAATGACCAGGAGAGGCTGAATGTCTGTAGGTACAGGAGGACGACACTGCATTGGATTACACTTACCCTTACAATCATAAATTCTAGAAATGTGTGTGTGTGGGGGGGGGGGGGGGGGGTGTTTTGGTTTGGTTTGTTTAAATCTTAGATTCTGCTGAAGCTGATGGTGGTGGTCCCCTAAATCCCCAGGCCAAGCTTCCCACTTACTTAGAGTGAGTGGATTTTTCAAGCCCTGAATAGAGGGATCCAGGCTAGGTTGAAGTTAACGCATACAGATTGATTCGCAGTGACTGCACAAGATTTTAATACTAGGGGACAAATATCGTAGGTTACCATAGACTTTTATTGTGTTAGCATTGATAGTTCACACACAACTATAGTAAAACAAAATCTTCAGGTTCCATCCTCCACTGGCAAAAGGAATGATAGGGAGAGTTAGGAGGTAAGTATTCTATAAGTCCTTCAAAACATTACCTTGTTCCACCTCTCTAGTGGAAGGCCCCAGAGCTTTGCCTACATTAAGTGTTGAATATTGTCATCTGACATTTTTAGGTTTGCATATTAACTTTTTGTTTTTCATTCTGCAGAGGCAAATAGCGTATTACCTGTACTTTAGCTTTCCCTGTTTTAAAATTTCAGCTAACTTTGTCAATGGAGCAGTAAAATTAGAAGATGGAGCATCACCCAGAACAAGAAAATCAAAAGCATTATGAGATGGAAGCTAAAATCAGAAGACAACATATTGACAGAAGACTGTGATTAAAAAATATAATCTGTCACTGCAGAATCATAGGCTATTTGTCTGTCTTGTTATGATTTAAATGGACACTATCAAGTTAAAATATATTTTAAACACATTTTTTTATTAATACATAACTTACTATGAAAACTGGTCACTTTTAATCTAATTTACTTTACAATTAGTATTTACCTCTTTCAGTTTCACTCAATTTGGACAAGAAAATAGACAAATCACTTGCACTTTCTGGCTCTTAGTAGCACAATTCTGCAATGTTTGAGTGACAGACGTTTCAGGGGAATATTTCAATCTAAACAATCTGTATATTTGGAATTTTTAAAAAAGTTGGAAACATTTTCATTAATATTATGGTTTAGAAAACCAGTGGTTTTACAAAACCTAAATTCTGGGCCAAAAATATCTGACCGTGTATGTTTAACTTTAAACTTTTGCACAACAGACTCTTCTTTTTATCACATTCTGATATTGAAGTAAGAGATAGTACAGTATGTCTGAAATACATGTTAGCATAGGGGAAAAAAAAGAGTAAATGACATCTATTTCCCTTCAAAGATTATATAAAACTTGATTTATATAACATGCTCATCAAATTCTGACTTAATATACCTAACTTCCTCTTAGGTGATTGTGATATTTTAGTTAGACACACAGATTATTGGATGCAGTCGCCTTGCAGAATTGCCAGTGTACATAGGGAGTTTTGAAATAGTTTGTAATGTCTTGTTTGGAAACAAGTTGCCAATTAAACATCTCGGGTGAAAACCTGGTGCCATTGAAATAAGTGACAAAGATGTCATAGATTTTAGTGAGACCAGCATTTTACCCCATGGCCAAATCTTGTGAAAATTTACCCCTGGTAATTTTTCTTTAATTTTGGCACTGACCTGTTTGAAAGTTACACATGGCTTTTTCATAAAGACTATGAAGTTGAGTTCAGGAAATGTATTTTCTGTAGCTGCAATTTTTTTTTAAAGGTGCTAAGATTTTTAATTACCTGCGTTAGGCAGCCACTTATTTTGGTTTCAAATTCAGATTTAAGTTTTTATATCTCCATGAAGCTATTAAGATGCTCATTACTTAAATACTATTTTAGATATGATTCATATTTAAATTTCTAGACCATTTCAGTATGTCTTTTCAGAAGTAATAAGGTCTGATGCTGGTATAATTAAGTGGTCTAATAAAGACTGCATTATAGGCCTCTTATCCCCAACCAGTGGCATCAGTTTTGCATGGCTTCTTGTACTACTTGCCATCCTTTCAGCCAATTGGATCTTATTTCTCCAACACACAAAATTCTGTTCAGAAAACAGTTGATTTATGCAGTAGAGCTGACTTTATAATATATGCCTTGGGTGCATAAAACACTAGAGAGGTGCATTAAATTGCATTGTCACATGTTCTGAAGTGTCTGTTGTTACGATTTAGGAAGAAGGTTTACAATTTCTTACGTGTTCATGCCACAAAATATATTTACAACTTTCTTGAAAGAATAGTTACTTAAAATTTATCCATATGTAGGTTTTTCTTTAATACTATTTCTCCCTTCCCTCCCTCCCTGCACTGGCTACCCAGGTTCTATCTTGTGTTTCTTGAAGCCGTGCAGTCTTTTTTAGTGAAGTGAAGCAGAATCTAGTAGGACTGAGGGGTCACTTGTAAAAAGTTCAGCTACATTTACCCAATTTCTCCCTCTAGAAACTGGCTATTGACCACCTATTCATTTCAGACAGACCCATGTAGTCACATACAGTAGAAACAGTTTTTGGCTTGTTCACCTAAGCTACACTCGATTAAACAGTATTTGCCACTTATCACACAGCATGTTCAAAGCACCTTACAAGCATAAATCCTCATAACCCTCCAGAAAGGTAGGTAAGTAGCAGTGTTCTCAGTATATAAGAAACTGACCGATTAAGTGACTTGTCCAAGGACACAGTGAGGATCACTGCCTCTGGGAGTAGAAATCAGGATTCCTAATTCCTAGTCCAGCGAATGAATCACACGTGACTCCTGGCCACACTTCTGTGAAAAGCAAGTGAGTGAGAGACTAAAGGTTTCATATCGTATTACCAATCCCTTGAGCCATTTTAGGTGTTGCCATGTTGATCTAAGCACTTGTTTGACTATGATAAGGCTACTGATATTTTTGTAAGTTACCTACATAGTCATGACTGGTATATCTAATGCTATTTAAGTCTTATGAACCCATTTTCTAATTTGCCCTAACTGTTCCCATGTGCAAATGGTATGTAGGAGTATCATATGTGATTTCTCATAAACCTGTACATTTCTACTAAAAATGTTTACCATGGAACTAAAATATATATTTTTTTAACAATTTTAATAAACGTATTTGTATAATCATGAATGCCTCATTTGATAAAAGTATCATCTTATGAGCAGTTTTGGTGTGACCTGCTTAGTCTCTCTATCATACTGCTCACAAGACAATGCTTTCACTGATAAATAACTGCACATGTAAGTATACCATACATTTAGGTTTTGGGCCACTTTCCAGCTGAAATGGCCAAAGACTAGTTATTATAGAGGTAAAAAATCTTTTACCCTGAGAAGGGAATTCCTACACTAAGGACACTGTGAATACAGGATAAAAGTTATATTGCTTTTACATTACTGATGCAAACATTTTCTTGAATAAAAACATTTTCCTTTCCCCCCATCCATCGCAAAAGCATTCAGACCAAGATTTAAAAAAAAAAAAAAAAAAAGCCTAATTTTAGGCTCCTATATCTATACTTATGCACCTAAAAATTGGCCAGATTTTCAAAAGCGTGGAACACCCAGCAGTTACAATTAAGTAGCCAGATTCCCATTATGGGCACCGCAGAGTATTCAACACTCTTCAAAATCTGGCCACTTATTTAGGAGCCTAAGTGGTAACTTAATTTTAGGGTCCTGTTTTTCTCAAAAACTTAGCCCCAATCTTTTCCCCTTCAATATTATGGAAAAGTACATTTCTAGCACACTGCCTATTAATTCAGTGAACAGAATGTACTTGAATGCTATTCTTGTTGCATGTCATACATAATGGACACTTTAAGGAATCTACACTTCTGAAGTCAAATAATTTAAGTGAAACATTTAAAGTGTCCTTGGCATATAACTATTGCGTGTATGGATACTGTGTTCATACGCACATACAATATCTGTAAAATAAAGATAGGAATCTCAGTCTTGTAGCATGAGAGAAACTCCCACTATTTCTTTTAAAGGTAAAAATCATTGTTTTTTGTCATTCCATTGCATTTTTGGATGCTCACTGTGGAATATCAAAATGCGTGAAATGAACTAGGCCTGTGCCTTAATATTAAGACATTTCAGTAAACTTTAAACAACTTGCAGCAAAAAAAAAAAAAGTTCTTTGCACTTAATGCAGTGTGTTTTGACAACTTTGCAATGTAATTCTACATATATTTTAGTGACTATTGCACTGTTTGGAATGTCAAATGATGGAAGATGGAAAGTTGGGGATGGGAGGGATATGGCTTATTCACATCGGAGCTGGCTGTTCTGAGGCAGGGACTTGTGTGATGACTGGAGTTGGTAATGACTAAAAATAGTAACTTGATCTTATTGTTCAAAATTCCTTGTAGGTTAATATGTAGACTGATTATTTCTGTTTTTAGTTTTTGTTGCTGTTTGTTTTTTGGAGTGGTGGTTTGTTGTTTTTCCTACCTGATTTGAACATGTATGTGTAAGGGAAGGGAAGATTATGGGTTAGGGGAGTAGAAGCTAGGATACTAGTAAGACTAATAAATAACTGTACTAATGTTCCCTTTTGTTTGAGTACAAAGCCCCCCACCCACCTAATAATAATTTTATTGTATTTGAAAGAGTAATTTTAACAATCTTCAAAAATAAGAACCCCATCTCTGTACACTGCAGCCTGTCTTGAATTCATTTTACACTGCCAAACAAAAATTCACACATGGTTTTGTTCCATGGTGGGAAGAAACTTTGTGACACTTTCAGGACTCCTGTACTTGTATTAAGCACAATATTTAGGAGGAAGCTATGAGAGAGGGGTCAGCAATTAAAAATTCCTAAGTGCTTTACAATTGATTTTGGAAATATTGTCCAACAACCTCTTCTTCTACCATCTTTGAAACAACAACCATTTTCTAACAAAATACTAAACTAATCCATATCTCTGAAGCTATAACAAGACCCTAATTCTGCAAAGCACATACTTAACTCTCATTGACTTCAATGAGACTTATGTGCATGCATAAGTGCTTTGCTACATTGGGGCCTAACTCAAATATATATAAATCAGGATTACAGTTGGGAGTGCATACTACCTCTTCATCTTTAAAGCACATTGGTGTCAAGGGTGGAATTCTCAGAGTGCCTAAATGTCTTAGGAGCACTTAGGACTTGTGCCCAGAGACCCAAAGGTATTTAGGCCCCAAACTCCTTTTTTAATCAAGGGGCATTAGAGGCCTAAATATCTTTGAGGATCTGGGCCTTCTATTCCTAAATTATATAGGCCCGAACTTTTAAAAGTATTTAGGTTCCTAATTCCCACTGATTTCAGTGGGAGTTAAATGTCTAAATATCTTTAAAAATCTGGGTCTTAGGCACTTCTGAAAATGTTACCCAAAGTGTTTAAGATCATACACTAACAACATGTATTTTATTACAGATAATGAATTTCCTTGTTTTATAGGTTTGTCAGACCTTCACAAAACTAGTTTGATATTTTTTAATTTTAATAGAATTATAAACTTCTAATACATTAAAGGCCAAGTTCTGCATTTATGCTTCCTTCAACCCCATTGACTTAGCTGAGGTTGTATGAGATCTCAGTGCAAAATCTGAGGCAAAAACTCTAGTCCTGTGACAACACCATGAATAGTACTATTCATTTGCATAAGCATTTTACTTAAATCATAAATAATCTTTTTAGTCATTTCAGTCAATTTTCTGTTCTGTCCTGTCTAGTTATAGACTTCAGTTGCACATCAGGAGTCCTTCAGAAGTAAGGTTTATTTGGGGATGGGGAGCATGCATAGTAAAGTCACCTGCTAAAAGCTCTTATCAGTTTCAAATAGAAAAAACTTACTGTGTAAATAACTTATTATGAAACCAAAATTGGATCCTCTTATTTTAACCCTCAGAACATGAAAGGGTTATGCTTTATCTGCAGTGTATTGCTTTAAGGTTACAATGACATTTTCTAGTAAGTACAAATCATTTAAGCTACCAACTTGTATTTTTTAAATTTTGAACAGATTTACTGATGCTGTTCCTGTGGCAGTATTTTAACCAGGGCCTGATCCAACTACTAAAGTCAACAAAAAGACTCCCAACAGGAATTGGATCAGGCCCTAATGGTACATATTTTCTTTGAGTTTGCTTCTCTCCAGCTCCAAGATGTATATGAGAAAAATTTCTAAATGCACAATATCGTCAAATAATGAAGCAGTGGTACTTCACATGCTATACATAATGTATTTAATTGGGTTTCCTATTACATGATTTGGCAGAG